CCTCGCGTTTCCATCCCGGCCGGGCCTCGTCGCCAGCCGCGAGGGAGAGCCTTCGGCCGGCCCCGGGCTTGCTCGCAGAGAGAGGTGGTGAAGCACGGGGGCTTGGGGACCGGTGTAGGGGGGTGCGGGGTCCCTCGAGGGGAGCTGGCCGGCGCGCGGGGTTGTCACGGCACTTGTTGCCCGAACGCGCGGCCAAGCCCGTCGCGTGCGCGTGCGGAGGCGATGGAAGAAAACCGTGAGCTGGGACCGAGACCCGCGGGCAGCCGTGCGAGGAGAGGTTGCTGATGAAGCCCCCCTGCCTTATTAATGTCTTCCTGCAAGTTAATAACACTTGTTTCTCCCCGAAGGTGACAAAAATTACATCCTTTCAAAAGACAGTCTCACCCTGAAGGCCCCAAACAGTAATCAGCTCCAGGCTTGCCTTGGTAAGTCAGTCCAGTGTTAATTTCCAAACAGCTAAGATGCTTTATGTTCTACTTCAAAGCTGAATTGGGACACTAAAGTCTACAGCCAACTGTTCTCATCAGTGTTTTCATTGGCAAGTCTTACCCTGTTTCAGAAACTTGTGGGTTTTGGTTTTGGATGTGTTAAGTTGCCTATGTTTTTGTTATGCTGTAGTCTTCAGAGCGTGACCATTTACACACAAGATTGAGTTCGCTCTCTGGCGAGTAGAGTAATTTTTACAGGTTGTTTTATTTGTCTTGATATCAGTGTTTTCTAGGAGTATTCTATATAGTTGTCTTTAAGAAGTTTTGGCCACTTTTTTCCTTTTGGTTGTGGAAATGAGCGTGGAGAAGCCTTTGGGGGGAGGACTCATGGAGGAGTAGACTACTAGGTGTTTTGAGACAAGAATTTCTCATAAAGAAATGTGTTTGTTGTTTTGCTTATTTTTATTTGGGCACAGTCTTCATGAGGAACTTTGTGTGTGTGAATGTTCTTATAATGATGTGGTTTTTCTTTGTTGCCTTTGAGCAGAGGATGCCAACAGACAACAGCCACCTGCCAGACAGTATCCAAGAACAAGACCCTGTTACTACTTCAAGCAGTAATTGCCTGCATAATGCTGAGGAATTGGGAATTGAACAAGAAAATGGCATTTGTAACAGTGACCTGGGTAATAGTATTAGAGTTCCCAACTCTGCCAGCCAGTCATCCACTTCCACAGCTGTTCCTTTGGAGGTGCCCAGAAGAGGACACCCCCTTTTACAGATCAACAGGCAGCAGATTGAGTCCATCTCATATAGTGCACAGGCTGCTGAGCTCAAAGGTTTAGGAGTTGATGTCTATGACCAGGATGTATTGGAGCAAGGAGTTCTTCAGCAAGTAGATAATGCAATTAATGAAGCTAATAAAGCAACAAAAATAGCTGATGCGGAGAAAGAATATCAGTCAGTGTTGGATGACTTAAGGTAAATTGTGTCCTTTCTTACTGTTCTTTTCTGTTACTGACTATCTATTGAGGCTTGGTGTCTCACGTTTTTAAAAGCTGGAAGATCAAAAGCTGTTTTGAAAACACTAGATGACATGTACTCTTCTGAGTCGCCTGCCTTTTAAAAAAGAAAATATTTTTCACATCAGAACAATGCTTCATTGCTCTTATTTGACTAATTCAGTCATGCATCAAGGCAGTAGAGGACAGTGCATGTCCTTTTTCTTCTTTGTCTCCTACCTTACCAAGATATATGTCTGTTTTCTGGGCAGTGTAGAATTGCATTATACTCTATTATTCAAAGTAATAATCAGAAAAAGTGCCACTTCTTCAATTCTGTATGCTTCATAGGGTTATCTGCTTCTGGTTATGTGCTTTCTGTAACTTTGATGACTCGTATCATGAGTGTGCTACAACCAAAACAACCTTATCACAAGTGCTTGTATGAAGTATTTAAGGACACCTTAAAAGAATCAAATGCTTAATTAACATGGTATATTGATAGCAGAAGACTTTGAGGGATAGGAGCCTCTTTCAAGTTTTGATCTTGGATCTCCCTTTCTGTTTCTAGTCTCATTGTAGAGTTACTGTGTGAACTACTGCAGGTAAATAATTCTACATGTGCATCTTTCTCTGTATTGCATTAATGTTGGGTTTTAGTGCTCAAGAGTGCTGTAGGCCTCCATTACCTATGTGAACTCTCGCATAGCTCTCTTATTATGCATATGCTTAATTTTATGCACTTCATTAATTTTCCAATTTCGGTGTGGAGATGCAAAGTTAAGTAAGTTTCCGAGACTGGAACCTAATTTTAGATGTTATGTAGTAGAAGGACATAATGTGTAAGATGGTCATTGAGAGGACAAATGGAGCAGTGTAACCATTGCAATTAGATTATGCAGTTCTTGAAAGAATGGTGCAGGGCATTATCAATTAGTTGATATTTTCCTGGTTTTCTTTAAGAAGCATCCTATGATTTTTCTTACCCCCCTATTTTCACCTTCTGCTTAAAGTCGTAAAATGAGATTTACATGAGGGGACGCAAATGGTTTATGCAGACCTGTAGAACGTCATCTGTATAAGATGTAATATGCAAGTCTGAAAGTTGATTTTGGAGATCAGCAGAGATATAGCTGTCTTGTTGAGCAGAGGGACTAACAAAAGTAAAGATGTACTAGTAGAGCATGATAGAGTTGGTTAAAGTCCTGTAGCATGGTGAATGCATGACTAGAGGTAGAATCAGGCAAGAAATAGTTTTTGAGCAGTTGGCATGGAGTTCATGGTAGAAGCTGCATGATTCTATAATATACACGCAAATTTAAGCAGAAGGAGGAGAATAAAAAAAGGTTGCCTGTTTAAATCCTGCAGTCCTGTTAAGTAAAGCTTTGTGGAAGAAGATGGTAGCGGTATGTGTCAAGAGACCCTAGGGCCAAGGAAGCAAGAGCCAAAAGGTAGGAGACTTGCAAGAAGGTGGTATACTTTAAGCAACAAAACAGAAGACTAACAAACGGGATGGGATGGTTCAAAAGTGTTGAAAGAATGGAGAAGTGAAGATGGCAGTGATAGCTGGGGAGCTAGTAGAATACGTCTCCTAGGAGAACAGTGGTAGAATCCAAATTAAGAGCTGGAGAGAAATGTGGTCCAACAATTTCCTCCCTGACAATTGAGGAGACTTACGTAGTGCTTTTCTTTGCATATGAGGGGAATAATGGCTGCTTTGCAGGTGTTGTAAAGAGTTTTCTTTGACATTTTTCATAATGCTTTGAGATGCTAATTTGTATATCCTTACGAAATCTGCTATTTGAATCAACAAACCTAGATTTGGTGCTTCTGATGGTGGGGCAGTATCTCCTTCCTTGCGAACAAATTCAACAGCAGAAACAGATGATACTAGGTTATAATATGTGGTTCAACCTTAATTTCATATTCTATATGGAAACATGAAAAATGGTAGTCCGTGAGTAAGGAAAGTTTTAATGTTATGTGCTGTTAATTCTTTGAGCTAGTCTGTCTTCCTGAAACTGTATTTGTATCTTGTAATCTATTCATTGTGTAAAAGAGGTGTTGTAAAGGTAAAAGAAATAGCCTTCCTTATATAATGGCATCAAACTATTAAAACAGTTTTAGAAAATGAAAACATGGGATTTTCCACTCAGATTTTTGTTTTGTCTTTTGTTTACCATGAATAAAAAGCAACCACTATCACTTGCTTATTATCCTCGTCAGACTTGTAACTTTTGAGTACTAAATATTGCAGTGGTTTAAGTTTCCTTGCGTTTGGAATTCTAGTATTAGCAAAATTTTGTTTAAAAATATTTTATGATGTACAACTTTTTAAAGCGTTTAGTATTTCCAGTGTTGTTTAAATATAAGTGCTTATTTAGAAACTTACTTTTAGACCTTTTTAAATCTTACCTTAAATTTCCTGGAATTTCTAAATTGTCTGAATCAAGAATGTGGTATTTTTCTTTCTGGAGTTGACTAGTACATTGCAATCTTCTTGTTTTTTCAGATCATGTACAACATCTCTGAAACAAATAAATAAAATTATTGAGCAACTTTCACCTCAAGCAGCCAACAACAAAGATATAAACAGAAAACTAGATTCTGTAAAACGGCAAAAATATAACAAGGTGATTGGATTACGTTAATTTCCTACTGACAATACTTAGCTTGTGCTTTGGCTTAAGGTTTGGATTATGTGATACAATTCTTGCTTAATTATATAGTTCAGAGTCAGTCTACAGTTGCTGTTCCTTCCCTTTTAAATGGTTTAATTTTCTACCAAAAAAATGTAAATAACTAAATTAAAGATGTGAAAGTAAGAGCTGAATTTTTTTTTTATTCTAAGTTTCAGAACAAGCTGTAAAACTGAAATTCCAGGACCTGCTCAGAAAACTGATTTGCATTAATTTAATTAAATCCCTCCCAGTAGCATTTGGAGAATTAACAAAGCATTGTTAGGGCACGATTTAATAGCTGACCTAAATCTCAGCTCTTGTGGTCTTCATTCCCTACGTTCCTTTTCTTAATCCTTTTTCATGGTCTGTATCTTTCTTGTACCAGTACATATCATTCCTTCCTGTGAGCCATTTTAACTCAGTGATTTGGCAGAAACTGCTCCAGCCTTTTTCTGCCAGAGTAGTAAGTTAAAGGAGCTTGTAGAGCAATCTATCAGGCATCAGGGTAATGTAAGCGATAGACCTGTATAGTTGTGAACAGGAAGAAGGAGATCTGAGAAGAGGGAAACTTCTGGTCAGCTCACCATCTGATGGAAATTCACCTTAATATTTTTTCTAATGATAAACCTGACTGAGAAACTTAATTGTCCTTTGCCCTCAGATACTTCTTCCCAGTCTCAGGCCATTTGCCACGGAGTCATTCAGTTGTTTGTTTTTTAACCTTGACCATTTCAGCAACTTGGATAACACTGTGCTCACAGTTTGGCCAATTAAGAGAGTGAGGGGGACAGTACTGAACAGCGGCACAGGGCTAGGAACAAGTAGCTGGAAGTAGTGGGAAGAAATGCATTAAATCAGACTTGCCACTAAAGAGTGATCATGTAATTGGACACTATTTTACTTGTTTTCATACTGCAGTAATTTACGCAAGCGTTAGTTGCAGGGGAAGTTCAAACCTCGTTGAATGTTCATTGTTAGCCATCTCTAACAGTCCTTGAAGTGTAAGAATAAATGCCTGTATGAAAACTATAATTTGTAAAAGTAGTCCCAATTAACCACAGGAGTGTTTTTGAGGCTGTTTGGAGGCTGGCAGTGTATTTAAACCTGGTCTTGAGCTACCTTATGCACGGAGGAGTGCTTTTTAGTACTCTTCCTTTTGTAGTATTTAAGAAAAAATAAATGGTTAAAGACAACTGAATTCTTCCATTATTGAGACAAATGGGAAATTAATGACTGGTAAAAGACAGCTATTTCCTTAGAGCTGTCATACAGGGAGTGTTTTATGTTATAAAGTACTCTGGTAGCAAGGATTATAGTGCATACACAGGAGATAATAGATTGTACCATACATGAATATACTTACCCTTAGTGGCTTGATAAGTGCTACATGAAGACACGGGCAGACTAGTGAACCATTCCTCACCAAAAAGAAAAAAATTGCTCATTTTGCCATGAACTTGATTTTTACTGAAATACATGCCTCTCTAAGTAAGGAAATATTTCCAAAGAATGGAATTACAAATGTGGAAAGTTACATTGCCTATGTCTTTATTTTACTGGTTGGAATTTATTGTTTCAAAAGTGAAAGTTAGCGACACCAAGGAATCACAATGTCACCAGTAAATACACAGTTGAGGATATTACAATCAGATAAAAGGTGTAACAGTAGAGCTAGCTATAAATTACTTTCATAGCAGGAATGAACTATACTTGTTATAGCATCTGTAATGTTGATTTTTTCACTTTTTTTTTTTTAAGTAATTTCACTTTTCATAGTTTTTTGCTGTTAAATTAGCTGTGACCACTCCTGAATTAACCGTGTACAACCATATATTAGGATGATGGACTGATTTACAATTTCAGTTTCTTTCTTACAAAACATTCCAACACTTCTGGGATGATAAATAAGTCTTATAGCTGTTTTTAGTGGCTTGTTAACCATCAACCCAGCCTTGCAAATCATGATGAAATCTTTTGGTGTTCTCTGTGCATTTCACAATCTTCTTGATGGGCTTCCTTCACTAGAATCAACACATTCATAAAATGACCTCAAAAGATGTACATAAAAATGCACAATGTGCCTGTGAAATTTGTGTATAAACAATCTGATCTTACTGTATGCATATTGTAAGATGATTGTACACACAAAATTGTGCGTGTTCTGTGGGTTGGAGCACTACAGATATTGTGGAGTCACTTTTTTGCACTTTTTTTGTTTCAAATGCAATACTGTGAACATTTGAATGTGAGATTCTGGTGGAAAATACTGCAAATGTTTTAATTTGTCTTGTTTAAAGGATAGCAAGTGTATGAACCAGATTAAAAATTAAATTATGTATCTACTTGTCATTCAAGGAGCAACAGCTGAAGAAGATCAAGGCAAAACAAAAGCGTCTCCAAGCAATTCTTGGTGGAACGGAGATTCTTGATAAAGTAAATGAGATTGAATTAGAGGAAGATGAAGGTATGGGAGAAGGCTGAAAGTTCTGTTCTACTTTGATGTAATGCTTTTTGTTGTTGTTGTTTGAAGCTAGTATGCAAGATCTTTGCCAATAAGGAAGTAAATTTCAGTGGTTTGCTTTTAATGAGAGAGTTAAGAACACTTACTCTCTGCACCTGCAAAATTGCAGATCTTGGCATATTCATGTGGGAAGTTTTAAAAAATGGATGTTAATCCGTGTTCAGCTCAGTAGGGATGGCTGAGGCACATTAGAGTATTGGGCTTAATAAATTGGAAATTCTAACATTTTTTTCACAGCTAATTTGATAAAGATGACTAACATCATGATTGAATTACATTTTATATGCTGGATGCTATCAATCAGCATTAACAAAATTGTTTTTTCTTACTGTTGGGATGTATCACTAGAAATGGAAGGGGGAAGTGCTTCTCTTTTTCAGGCTGCACTGTGATTTAAAAAAAAAAGTAAAATAAAATAAGGCTTCTTCCGAAGCAGGATATCTATTCTCTCTGTTTCACTAGGTGTTCTTTATCACTACTGTCTGCAAACTGAGCTTGGATTTTGTAACTCCAGCTTGGCTGTGTCTTGGCCACAATCACTAATCTGCAGTATTCTGCAGGACCCCATTGACATTTGCACATCACCTTTGGGTTATATTATTGTGTGCAAAGGTGTAAACTCTTTGTGCTATTTGTCCATTGCAGATGTGGCTGCAGTGGATTCCAGATCTCGCAAAGCTCATGCTTCCCTCCTGATTCAACAAAACTTAGAGGAGTCAAAACCTCAGTAAACTTTTCTTGGTAGAAAGGCATCTTTAATCCTCTTTCTTTGAATGGGTTCATGCAGTAAAACTCAGACACCTGGTGTGATGCGATGTAACTAGGAAGTGAATGGACCACAAGACAGAAGAAATGGAGTTGAGCAGTTCCCATAGTTTGAGAAACTAAGGTGGTGGAGAGGGAGGTGTTTCATGCCTGATGCATCATCATTACTTGTTAAACGTGTTTTGGTGATAAATGCAGCACTTCAGATGGGACCATATACAGTAGCATGCAGTGCTGGCAATTGTGGTCCAGCTGTTTAGAAATTTTGGATCCTAATAATAGATTTCAGGCTGGAATTCCCCTTCAGCTTCCTGAATTCAAGAGCTTTTCCCCCTCTTTGGTTTTAAACATCAATTAGTTTGTGTTAATATGTATAGTAATTGTGAATGCAGTTTAACTGAAGAGCTCTTTTATGGCAATGTGCTGTGCAGCCAGTCCAACTTTTAAAGTCATTATCCTAATATTAGTATTGTAGAGTAGGAAGATGGGTTTGGGGGGTTTTTTTGTTTCTGTTTTTGTTTTTTTGAAGCATGTGGGAAGGCAGTCTTTTATGTGTTTTGTAAGATTTGTCTCTGTCCTGGTATGGTAATGTAAATGTCACATTTCAAGCTTATGAGTGGGACTGAAAAATCAATAATAAAATAGAAATGAACGATGTTGCTGCATATGGGAATGCAGTGGTTTCTTGCACTGAACATGGTGACATGGGTTGAATTGACAGCAGAGGGAACACACCAGAGTTCATGTGCCACGGAGGACTGTAATTTTATGGTAATTCTTGCTCTGTGTGTTGTTTCAAAAGTATTTGCATTTTGATAGTATGTGTAATGTTTCCTATATGAAGTTTGAGAAGTAGTTTGAAGTAAAAGTTACAGTCTGACTTCTTCGGCCTTCTGTTTTGTTGGGTTTTGCCTATTTTGAACTTCAGGTATTATGTGTGACAAAAATTTGGACTTTTAAGTTGTATATAAAAACTGGACCGAATGTATATAAAGCTTGAGGGGGGGATGACAACACACCAAAATAAAACACCCTTGTTCCTGCATTTGAGTTATTCAGAAGGTGTAAAAGGCATGCTGGATGTTCTGATTTTTGTTGTAGAACCTGGTCCATCATGTCTTGGCAGTATGCTTATGCCTGTTCAGGAAACAGAGTGGGAAGAGCTTATTCGTACTGGCCAGATGACTCCATTTGGAACTAAAATACCTCAGAAGCCGGAGAGGAATACCCAACGATTAATGCTAAATGAAGCATCTGATTTTGAGAAGTACTTAGCAGACCAAGCTAAGCTGTCATTTGAAAGAAAGAAGATATCCCTTCACAAAGGAGCAAAGAAGAAAGCACAAGCCAAAAATGTTCAGTGCATAGCTCCTGCATCTACTACAAAGGAAAAAAGGGGTAAAGGCATGTCAAAAACAGAGAAGCGCTTAAAAGAACACATGAGAAAACTTCAGAAGCATGCCCTTCAGATTCAGTCAAAGGCAGAGATTCCAAAAGAAAAGAAATATCTTGACGCCAAGAAGTTCAGGCGTAAACAGGAGGATGATAGTGGAGAGTCTGAGTATGTACCTGATGAGGAGCTCTTTGATCCAGAAGCAGCAGAAGAGGAGGAAGAGCAGGCATCTTCTCATGTTGAGAATGATTCTGATTATGAACTTGGGAATTTGTCAAGAAAAAGAAAATATTTGGTGAAGAGAGATTTTAAAGGAGCTGAAGATGATGCTGACTTCTTTCCAAGCTCTGAAGAAGAAGAGCATACACTGGGGAAGCGCAAAGTAAAGAGATGGAGAGATGATGGAGATGAAGACTATTATAAACAGAGACTAAGGTTAGTCCTAGACATTTATATTAGTAACATTAACAAATGATGTTGAACATGCAAAGGGCAATGTCTGTAATACACTGCTAGGAATTGAAGTAAGGAAAACAAGACAGTCAAAATGATGATAGCCTTCCAAAAGGAATCAGACATACCTCTTAATTACAAGGAAGTTGCTGTTAGATTTTTCTGATTGTTGTAGGTCCTTCAGTAATAAGCTATTTGTGCATCAGTGTTTGTTTGTTGTTTGCAGAACTGTGAATGTGCCCAAAATTGAGTAGATAGAAAACAGCATATTACTTGGCAGCTTTACACCTAAGTACTGCCTTTGTCTGTAGATCATAATACCTACCTTTCAAAAAAAAAAAAAGTCTTCTGTTTGATAGGCAAAATTACAATGCGGACAGACAGTGCCCTCCCTCTTCAGAGGGATGGCACTTCTCCACTGAGAGAGAAATCTTTGGTTTGGAATGGGGTGAGATGCTTAGTTTTTGGCTTGAAATAATCAACTGCTAGTCAAGAGAAAATCATTTGAATAAATTATAGTTACATACTATTTTTGTAGAATCTGTTAGTTTATTGAAATCCGAGGCAATTACATACAGTTTATATGGCTAACGGGTTTATTTGAAAACCAATATTAAAAGAATCTTTTGAATTTAAACTTGTAAAAAAATGTATACTGGAAAGGACTATATCTATATTATTTGATTATTAGCACATGGTCTCTTGCATAGCTTATATTAGAAGGCATAAGTAATGAAGACTGGACATTTATAATGCTGTTAGTCAAGTCTAAAAAGAGCTGCTCAGTTTGACAGTGATTTTCCTGTCTTTGTTCTTGATATGAGTGAGGGTAAAAACATCCCTATCTAAAGAGATAGTGATAATGGTGGTAGTAGTGGTGTTTTATGTTGCTATGATGACCTAAGGTTGTAAACTGAGTAAGGTTTCTAAGGAGAGTCTAGTATGTTAGGTGGGGAAATACAGCTAAGAACACAAGTTATTTTTTAAAATGGCAGCTGAAACACCTTGTGCTAATCTGTGATTTATGAAATTTGTATAACCCGTGTGTTGATGATGTCTCTGTAACTACAGTGTGCTGTTGAGATGTTTTCTCTACTGATGCTAACTAGACATGCCAGTGAAGTTAAGAGACATTTCTGCACATACTGGGAGTCAAAAGATCAAGATCACTAAAATGGTTGTTTTGTTTTAATTGTTCTCTAACTACTGGCATGTTGTCTCTTTTCTAGTATAAGGGTTGAGCTTCGTATAATGAACTTCAGCTTGTTGATAGCATGCTTACTTTTAATTAATTACCTTTAGTGAATGTCTTTCAAGTAGTTTTATAGTCCTCTAGAAAATGATGGATTCCAACTTGAAAACAGCTGCTCTAGAGTGAAAGGAAGATATATATTAGGGCTGTCAGCGAAGGGTGGTTGACGTAGTAGTGGTAAGGCCTAGCATAGGGACTTGGTTAATGCTTGGGAGACTCGAATTTTACACTTCTATGGAAATATAAAATCTTACATATTTAAGTGAACTTGTATCAGAGAAGGGGTCAAGAAGTAGAGGTATAAACACCATCTCTTTCTGTCGTGAGAGCCTGAGTTGCTGTGGAGGAGGAGGTATCTTCTGACAGAGGTACTCACAGTTGTAGAATTACTGGTAAGAAAACCTCAGGTAGGAGGAGCCCAACTTCACTTTCACATCTCAGGTTACAAAGGCAGATCAGGAGCTGATATGAGGCAGTAGGTTTGCAATCCCAGGATGCTGCTTTTCAAAGTTAGAGCATAGTTTATTGCTCTTGAATAGAAGATTTCAGCAAGAAGCTAATGTGAACAATGTCCAAAGGGTCAAAAAGAAATATGTTTTTTATTGGATGCATTAACAAAAATTAATTGTACTTAATTGGTAAAATATTTACTATTTTATTGAATAAAACTACTCTTCACATTTAAATTAGACCAATATTAAATCATTTTTAATTCAGTGTTTTCATCAAGACTAATTTATTTTGATTGAAAGTTTTAATATGACTCACAGTTTAAATTCATTCAAACACGTTTTTTAATAACGTTAAGATTGTGACAATTTATCCTTAGCAAAGTCATATCATAGACTACGTTTCTTTTGGTTACTAAAGTTACAATAAAAGCCTAAATGAATTTTAGAAATATCAATAACTGTAATTGCTACCAAAACACTACATCTCTTAAAAATTTCATAGCTACAGTTATTGTGGCTGTTAAGCTGCAGCTGTCCACATTGACGTTTTTATGCTGACACCCCCAGGTAATCTTCATTACGGGAAATGCCATGAGAAAATAAAATGTAGTGAATTAAGAAACATATTAAGAATGCTATAGAAATGCTGTCATTTGCTTACATTTATGTCTTGTTTCATGTCAGTTTTACTTTTGAATGCAAACGAATGGGTGAGATTATGGTATATTTTACCCCTGAGAGAGGCAGGGGAAAATCCTTTAGGATTCCTTTAGTCTTCTGAACATCTAGTCTTATGCTTGGCGCTGAATACAGTCCTACACTCTTAAAGATTGAAAATGAGTTTCCTTAACATTAAAACTTTAGAGATGGGACTTGAAGAGATTGGTCTGTGTCAAGGGGAAACTACAATGATGTTGTTAAAGCATGATAATTAGCTAACTGCAGGACTGCAAAGCATCTCTAGAACAAGAGGCTGTTTTCAGAACAGGAGCTGGTGTTATCTGCAGTAAACAGGGCAGGCAGGAGAGCACCCAGCTCTTTCCTGCTAAAGGCTACTTGCAGTGGTCGGCCTAGTCACTCAAAGCAAGATATGATCAGTGGCATGTGGAAAAGTAAAAGTTAGCTATACAGAATTCAGCTCATGCTCTCAGTAATTTCAGTTCTTTTCCCTTGCGTGGGTCTTGCCTTTCTCTAATTACTGTTACTGGTGCCATGTTGCTGTGCAGACACGCAGGGGAAAAATGTTCTGTTCTGAAAAGGTTAACATCTAAGGTGAATCATAACTTGCAAGAATAATGAACAGTAGCAAGGAACATCAGGGTTATGCAGAGTAAGGTAAGTAAGTAGGATACTGTCAAGCAGCTGAAATGTAAGTTTAAGATGCAGTGAAAAGTAGCGTATCATTCCAAACTGTCCTTCATACCACCTACTACCAGCTGAACCCAGAGGATTAGGCAATCAGTCTCTAGGGTGGTGCTGAATGTCTCAGAGACTTGATCGCCATCAACAGGTATGTTATCAATGTATATTTTGTCATACTCAGCAGTGACCATCTTGGTCTAGAAGTGTTCAAAATTGGTGCTGGTGGAATCTTAACCTGTTGCCTCCTGTCCTGTGGAATGGTCAGGTCATGGCAGAGCCAGTTTCTTTGAAGATATGGAATGAGTGAAAATGCACCTGGTTTTGGCTGCTTTTACTTAGGATCACAAAATAAAAGTAACCTTGTATGCAGATTAAATGCATAGGATATAAACATTTTCTTTGTTCTCAACAAGAAAACTGCTGCATGGTTTTCTTGTATTATTCTCAAGACTTTGCAGATTTGGAAACTGCAGCTTATCAAGATTTTTTTGCATATTAATGTTTTGAGCATAACCAAGGAATTTTTGCTGCTTATAATATATGTAGTTAATGTGTTACACTATTGACATAACTAATACAGTATCTGCATAAGGTAATAGCTTGGAGTCAAAACAAAAAATTAGCAGTCTTATGGTCACTACTCCCATAACATTTGTCGGTATGTATCTGCGTGCTGCTTCAAGGAAGGAATTGCATGTCATGTTATGGGAGATAAGTGCTATATCTGTGTTATCTTGTGTATTCTGTATAGTTTGTGGAGTACAGTTGTTTGAATTCTTTAATTGCTGTCAAGTGCTCAAAGGCAAGGCTAGGAAAGCTACTTCTTTCCGTGCCTCCCAAGTGACATCCAAGCAGCTGAGTACCTGGAAGTTGTGGCTATCAGTGCAACAAAGCAGTTGATACAAAGAACCAAACCAAAAAATAAAATTTGCTTAAAAATAAGTTGGTTTTCTCAAATCAGGTCAGTTTTCATGTGCTAGCTCTCTTTGAAATATCCGAGTCACTGAATATCTTGATGTTTCAGATTTATAAATTTAAAAAGGATTAAATATTACCTTTCCTGAAAGATACTTTCTTAGAGCATCCTAACTGCTCTTTAAAATGACAAAGCCAAGACACAAATGAAGATATATTTTGGCTCACTCGCCAAGTACACCTTTCATTCTAAGCTCAAGTGTGTAATTGTCTACATCAGTCTTGATTTGCTTGTGGAGACTTGCGGTACTAACTGCATGTATTTCATCTGTTAGGACGTACCAATTAAATCCACCCAAGACCATAAAAAGTTAGATCAGAAAAGTAATGCTGAATGCTTCAATTTAGCAAATTAGAATAATCTGTAAGGGATTCTTAGCTGTATAAAACAGAAAACATATTGTGCTTCACAAATGCAAACTATATTAAACACTCAGTTTGGTTCCTGACTGTATTTTTTAAAAAAATCAAATTGTGCTCATTACTGTTTTGGCTGCAGAATTTCTTTCTAGGGTATTGCAATAAGTGGGAAATGGGCTTAGTATCTGAATACATTATTTAGATGAAAGTTTTAATTGTATGATATATAGCTTTTATACTGCACTTTCAGGATAATACTGTATGTCAGTAAGCATGGACAACATAAAATAGATTTCTCAAAGGTCATGCTTTTATTTTCAAGAGACCTTGGTGATACAGTAAAACCTGTATTTTCTGATTGTTTAGGCATACTAATGATGTCTAACTGAGGTGCATAAGGAATATATTGACCAAATGGTCAGTCAGGAGTTACCATGTAGTTAAGTCAACTTTGAGCTACTGCTGTTTCTCATTCTACAGTTTGACTTCTGGGGAAAGGTACAAGACCAGACTGACCAAGTGACTGATCTGGTCTAACGAATAGCGTTTGTCCTCCCATTGCTTCAGCCATTTAGATATTTACACTTTTTTAAAGAAAATGATGATGTTTTAGTGTAGAATATCTTAATACAATGTCTTCCAGTAAGTTCACAGGCTTTCAAAAACTGAATAGCTTCTTCAAACTTTGAAAGTTGTTAGTGGTAACAACAAATTGCTGCTTTTTCTTTAAACTGGTAATTGAGGGCAAAAAAAACTCCAGACATTTGGAAGAGATGTAGTGCCAGAGCCTTCAATAGTACAGCTTTCCTAATTACACACTTCAGTAAAGTGTATACAGTGTATATAAAATACACTTTTCTTTAGAAAAATTAAGTATGGGATTTATTAGCTCAAATTCTAGACATACGCATTTTCTAGATATCTAATAATTTTAAGAGAAATCCCAACATTGGTCACACTTCTTGCAGAAAATATAGTAGTTACATTAAGGTAAAGTGCCTAAATTCCTGGACAGCTACGAGCTAATCTCAGAAATGTTTATTCTTGATTGTTTCTGGATCACTTTTTCTAATGTACACTAGAGGGCAATCTGTTTCTTCCCAGGGGAGACTGAAGCTCCAGTGTTGGCTAGTGGTGATTCCTATTGGAATATAGAATTAGAAGCAAACTCTTGTACAAATTATTGCCCTGCTTGAGTTTAATATGGACTCTTTACCTAGCTGTCACTTTGGAAGCTTTGTAATCTACAATTGTTTTGATTTTACTGTGGTAAGTAGGAGTTTTCTTTCTTGGTTTGAGTCTTGTCATAACCCAGTCAGTTAAAATAATCAAGTTCTGACATGTCTCAGTTCCAGTAATGACACAGTCTGAAACAATGACTGTCAGCATTTGTCAATTTGAATCATTGATCTTTCTGGAACTCAGAATAATTGACCATCTGTGCCTCATAGCCCAACATTGTAGTACTGAACAAAAATAAATGCATTTTTATGCTGTGCCTCTAGAATGTATCGTATCTGTCTGCTAGACTCCAGAGCATGAATGTTATTGTCTTAAATCAAACATTTAACACACTGCTAGTCTAGGATAGAGATTTCCATTCCTGTGTTAGGATAGATATATAAAAAGTATCTGTGGGGGAGACTTTGACACTTTATATATTTTTAGTAAGTTCTTTTTTTACTACTTAACTGGATACATGATTTCATATAATGAAATAAGAACAATCCAATAATAACATTGGCACTCATCAGTTTTTAATCAGAAAACTGAAGACTATTTTTGTCCATCTTGGAGTTTTCCCCTGTATATGCTGCTTTTTCTCTCCATCACAATTTTTGCTTCTGAAGACTTCCTGACTTGAGATCAAAATATATTCCAGTGAAGCTGGCTTTCTCAACGTGTCCAGCATTGTATTGTCGTAGTCAGTTTTTCAGTGCGGTCGGTTTTGGCAGTTATTGCAAGGTGTATATTTGGAGGTGGTGGTGTTTATTTTCACTTAATAAAACAATACCACGGTTCCAAGTTTGTGACTGGTTCCAGAAAGGCAGACTGTAAGTATTTTCTCAAAAGATACTGGTGAAAATCTGATCTAGAAACCTGTCATAATTAGCTTGCTTTCATGAGAAAGGGCGTATGATTGTGTTAGTTGTACATGAAGTGTTGAACTTCTTCCCTGTTCTCTTGTTCCTAACTCAAGTTTGTTTTAAACAAATTTGCCAGAGATGCAGAAGCCTTTAAGAGGAAGTTCCAACAAGTTTCACTGAACTAAGTGGTCAGGAAAACAAGAGAAACTCCATTAATGCTGCCTACTGGAGAAAACACAGCTTGACTTTAAGTCTTGTTATGAGTTTGCAGATCCTGTGGAAGATGATTTTGAATGACCTAACAGCAAGAAGAGTCTCTGCTAGTATTTTCACCTTATTTCATACCACAGAATGCAGAGTAGTGTCCTTAGGAACAGGCATCATTGGTTTAATTGCCCCCAGAATTGCTTATGTAGTCAAAAAATACAAGGGGAACACTAGACCTTCGTTGCCTGGTTGGTTGGTTGGTTTTTCATTCACTAATGTGTTCAAGATAGAAAACTTGAATCAAATTTTATTTTAAACAGTTTTAGCTGACAGGATTTTTCTCTGGTGGAGAAGACACTTCTCGTATCAGGCTGGAAGAAGTTACGGTACTGTACATGACCCCGTGCCAGTCGTGTCTGCTCTTAACATGACTGAGCTAGATAGCAGCATGGCTGAAGTCTTAAAGACTTGGAGCAACGCTTGAGATGTTTTATAGTGTCTTCTGGTTTGTTTGCCAGCTTGGAAATCCAAAATGTCAGGGATGGTAGCTGTCTTATGGGCAGTTGTTTGAGGAAAAATTTTAACAGTGACTTCTGTCTCCCTCCTTTTGGCTAGTTAGGTCAGGATATAAATCAAGATAATGAAACTGTTTAAGTTATGTTTCCATAACTGATGCTATTGTCAACTTTGGGCCAGAAATTAACTCAAGATTTTATGATTATGCATCTTTTTCCTGACATGGATAAAATTGGGCTAGTAGCTTTGAAAACATAAGGCACTCGGCCCATAAGCTTAAAACACAGTGGACTTTGCATAGCAAGGCTGGAAATAACATACAGTTTGCATGTCAACCTCTAGATGCAGTTTATCTTGAATGCTTGAAAGCAGTGCAGAGCTTTACAGAAAAATCAGGATAAATAACTTTAAAACATTTTTTTTAAAAAAAGAGAGGAAAATGTGAATTTCCTCAGTTCAGAAATAGTTCAGAAATCCTTTTTCCAAGAATATGGAGTGTGTTTTGGGGAAGGGGTTGGGGGTTTTACTTTGGATTTTTTTAGAACTCTGTTCATCCATTATCCTGCCATTTTTTTTGCTGCTCCAGAGGCAACCTAAGCTAACAAGAAGTCATTTGTGTAATGGGTAAATGGTAAATGTTATCAGGAGGCAAATGGACTATTCACTCGCCTGTAACGTTTGTCATTCAGAAACTGGAAGTGTACTGGAAAACTGTTGCATCCTGTTAAGTCCTCCTCCATCCAGTTACTGCAGGACTGTTCTAGAGTGCATTCTCCGGGGTTTCTTTAATGTAGAGTTAAAAGACTGGACAGCATCTCACTCAGGAGGCCATTTGTCGCTTAATGCAGTAGATTTCAGTACAAGGCAGCTTAACTTACTTTTTTTGGTTTGAATTTTCTATTTGCTTCTTTTCATCCTATCGCTACTATTTATAGTTCTTTGGGACCTGAACAATTTTAGTCTTCGTGTCTTAAGTTTCAGATACTTCTAGACTCTCAGGTCTCTTCCTTCAGCCTTTTTATGAGATGAAATATGGCTGCTTTTGCGCTGCATCGAGAACAGGAACATAAAGATGTTTTTCATCTGTTTTATAGCTTGCCAATTTCTGTAGGCAGTCAATTTATACACCATATTCAGTGTGCCTGCAGTGAATGGCACTTTCATGGGAGGATTCCAGCAAAACCCAAGTTGTCAGTGAAGTGCTGTTGATTGGTTAGTACATACCCAGCTAGCAGTAGCATACACTTTACTATAACAGGTAGATGGTTTTGGGTCACTAAAACAGAAGTCCATAATTTCCTTGGATGTTGAAGATCCTTTGGGACTTTTTCAAAAGAGGGGGGAAATAATGGAACAGGAAGGTAATTCTCTAACCTGCCTAGAGTCCAAATAAGATTAGGCTGCAGACCACAAATCACTCCATAATTTCAAAACCTCAAAAAACTCATTCTCTTAGTAATGACAGCTCAACAGATTTAGAGCACGTCACCCCAAAGATGGTGATGTTTCCAACTGAGTCTTCTGTATAAGATTATACACTGCTGCACATTTCTGTAGGTGAAGGAAGTTATTTAAGCATTTTGTTAAATTAATAAAATACCTTTCGAATACCTAAGCTTTATTGATATTTTTGTGGGTTTTTTTAATGGAGGTTTAGGAATTTAAGGTAGCCAGATTTTTTTATGGTGTTGACTGTTGATTCCATTGTATTACTATTTCTGTCTATAGAAAATTGTAACTAGCTATAAAACTCTGAATGCATATAACTAAATAGTCAGGAGTGCGTGCACCTTTTAATTTGTCAGGTATTTGTATTTTGAGCATTTACTTGCATAATTCTCTCCTCCAAAGGATTATAATTTAAATCATGACATCAGAGAATGCATTTTTGTTGGGTTTTTACCTGATTGAAAATTCAGTGTAGTTTTCATGTAGTATCTTTTCTATGTAATAATTGAGTGTTGACTCCTTGTGTCACTCTAGGAGGTGGCAAAAAGAACGTTTGAAGGACAAAGAATGTCACACAGCTGAGGAACTTTCTGAAGAAAGTGACGCTGAATTTGAAGAGGGTTTCAAAATACCAGGATTTCTCTTCAAAAAGCTTTTTAAGTACGTATAGTGTATTTTATTTTAATATTGTGTGCTGTTAATAATATTAATAGTGATAGTCACAGTGATTTCTGGATGCCCTTTGCTGTAACTTTTACTTCAGTGAATAATGCCTCAACTTTTACTTCAGTTGTTTCTGTAGGATTATTTCTTTAAAGAAGGCTCCAGGATCAAACCTCAAAGAAACTAATTTATTACAAGCACAAAATGTAGTTACATGAAAATACAGATGATAACTGCCTGATGTGAATATTGTGAATGCCTGTTAGCTAAATGACTAATTGAGAAGCTCTCCTTGTCTATTTTTATAAATGCTTTCTTTTATTGATAAGTGCTTGCTTTTAATTCAGGTGTGGAGTGGTAGAATGAGTTTACTTTCAAGAACAAGGTGTTGGCAAGTTGTGATAAATGAAAACAAGAAATGTAGGTGTTCCTATGATTGGGTGGAGTGAGTGAAATTTTCTGCCAGTAAAAAACTATAGACAACTTTTTCTTTAAATAGCTACTCAAAGTCTACTCAATGTAACTACTTATAATTCATATTATAAAAGTCTTGAACATTTTGCCCCGTAAAATTTTAAAATGTGGAAAGTACATTCTTAGTTCCTCTAGTAGATGGAAAACACTCTACAACTCATTCTTTAGTTATTTAATGCTGGATTACAGATTTGGACATGACTGCTTTCTGTTTCAGTTTTTTGAGACCATGGTGCCCAGTGGCACTTTCAAGTTCTTCTCAAAAAACTATTTACAAAAGGCAGCCCAAACAAGCTAGCAGCTGACAAGTTAACTTCATCCATAACCTCTCCCTTGCATAATAGGCTTGAATTCATTTTTGTTGGCAACATTTGGCACAGCAGGAAAAACATCATCTCTTTCAAAAGTTAACTTTCTCAAATCTTGTAATTAGTGTAGTAGAAACCCCTGCTTTATAATGGGTGTGCATGGTATCCCTTCCAACAGGACCCCTTAGTCTTAACCTCAAAGAAATTATTACTGTTGTCCTGCAGTTCCTCAGAAGGAAAGCACTAGATCTGAATGGAATTGAATTAATGACTTGGTTACCAGGACCATACAGCCAATATGTGATCTCTAGTTGTTTATCCAAAGGTACTACAGAAGTAATCATCCTGAGAACGATGTGTTGTCTGAGCAACCCAAAGGGAATTGAAATAAAGCAGACTGCTAAAAATTAATCTTAGAGATACCAGCCTCACTAATGAAGGGTATCCCTGCAAGCATGAGTCAGTTGGCAAAACTTTTTAAGTGGTTAGAAAGATCAATTGAATGATTCGTCTGACTTGTAACATAAATGCTGAAATCTCCAATGTAGGAAGGCCCATAGTCAGTAGGCATTAAACTTCGCGTTCTGAGCAAGTTTAGTACAAAACATGGAAGTATATTGACCCAAGGAGGTGTAGAGCAGTGTACTGTAAGTGATCTTCCTGCATAGTTGAGTTGAATTCCGAAGAAGTTAGCTCACGCGAGAAATTGTAGACCCGTAAGTTTGTTCTTTGGTAAGCCTGTTAAAGTGGACAGTCTGTTTCTTTTCTATATACTTGTCTGCTTTAAGGAACATTCAGCAAGGATACCATTGGTGCTGCTGTGGAACAAAACCAAATATAGTGAGCAAGACTGACTTACAAACATTGCCTTATACTGTCTGCACTTAGCGTGAGAGAATGCTGTCTGTGTAAACAAGAAACCAGATTTCTTCATTATCGCTTTCAGTGTGTGATTTCCCTGATATGTCTGAAATGCAATTTTGTCTCAGCAACAATGCAGCTAAACTCTGCTAGCTACTGTGGTGAATTTTGAGGCATGCATCACAGCATGATAGCTCATGTGAAATACAGTTCAAACATAACTATTTTGGAAGACCAGGCAACACTTTTATTTTGCTTCTACAGTATTTTTGGAGTAAAAAACAAAACATAAAAATTGCTGCAATGAAAGCATAAGATTAAAGAGAATTGATTATCTCTCCATACAACCACAAAAAAATTATTGGGGGGGGGGGGGACTTTAACTTTTGCATAGTTGCAATTATTGCATATTTATATGATTATACAAAGAAAACACCTGCATCTTTTCCATTTTTAAATAACCTTGGAGCAGAGTTTTTCACAAACTTAATTATCTACTGTGAAACTTTCTCGGGAGAAGGGAGTGAGAAAGATGCTTACAAATGCAGCTAGCTTTTAAGCACTGGATGTAATCCTAAGAAATAATACAAAATAATGTCAGGAAGTTCTTGAGTGATTGTCTTCTGAAGAGACATGCTCAACATTAGTCTGGGGGAGCAGCTTCTGACTGGAATTAGGGTTCTCCAATTCTTTAATATTTCTGTTAGAAAATGTTTTGTCTTCATAAAATGTAGTAATGGTAGCATCTTACCCCAATTATAGCTAATCCTGCAAGCTGTTTCATAGTTCTCTTTAGATTGCTGCATTTTTAAGGTGAATTAATTTCTAATAAAAGGGGATTTTCTAAGGGCTTCTTGGTATAATGCATGTGAGACACCAGCAGATAGCATGATGTCTGAACCTTTAGATGTGTTCTTTGATCATCTAACTACTCAAGCCGTTTGTTTGTCTCTGTTTAGCAGTCTCTAAATCCATACAGAACTCATCATAAATTGATTTTTAATAGTACTTTGTAGACACTAGTGTTGTTAGCTGTCAGTAGTCCTAAATATTATTTGTTCAAAGAATGAAACAGGATTTTGAAATGCACACAAGACAGTGCCCTGAAATGAACAATCCATATTTTACAAAAAAAAAAAAAAGTTTTGCTCTTTGCTGTGCTCTGCACTCCAGGAATGCATGCCATCAGGAAAACGATATCAGTAACCTTGTTCTTCCTCCAAGTTACAAGACACAGAAGTGCTGAAACATGTATTTTATTTTGATTAAAATGCAATTTAAATATACTGTTTCTTCATTTCTTTGTTCTGTTTTCAATTTAACCCACACATGTGGTGTTTTATTCCTACTGGTCTCACTATTTTATATCATTATAAAAAAGCATGTCCTAAAGTGATTCTCAGTCCAGCATCTTACCTCTACCTTTTTAGCTTGCTATCGTAAGCCTTGCTTTCTAGTCTACTTCTTTTAATTAGAATGTATTTTATATTGTTGCTTATACAATTTCCAGTGAATGACTGGGAGTAGAAACTGCCCCGATACTCTCATGTAATAATGCTCCGCTGCATCCCATTTGCTGGAATAGTTTCTGTTGTTTTGCCTTCCAAAACATTTTGCCTTGTTGACTTTTTTCTTCACTGAAAGAGACTAAATGTTATTAAATGGATTTATGTAAAAAGAAAGCATGCTTTGGCAGATGTGATCACTTTTCACAGTGGAGTATAAAGTGTGTACCTCTTACAAGTCAAACTTTTCCTTCAGTTCGGGGCATATGTTCCAAATAATATTATTTACTAGACCCTTACATGTTGTCTTTTCTGAAAAGATAATGCTTTGTTAGAGTAGCTTTCCAAGTTGCTTTTAACACTTAAAATATACATTAAATAAAATACCCTCTAATTACCATGACTATCAGTTTAATTAGAAATGGTTTAGTGTTGCATAAAGAATGAAAGTCACATGTAATGTCTGAGTCCATCAAAAATGTATGACTTAGTAAATACAGCACTCATGTAAAACACAGATCCAGCATGTTACTGTAACTAGTGTAAGAACCTTGCCAAATGATTAATTCATGAGTACTTTCTGTTATGATCTGTATTATCAAACATTTGCCATCTTCTTTTTCCTTGTTTTAGGTACCAGCAAACAGGTGTTAGGTGGCTCTGGGAATTGCACTGCCAGCAGGCAGGAGGAATTCTGGGAGATGAGATGGGATTGGGCAAGACCATCCAGATAATTGCCTTCTTGGCAGGTCTGAGCTACAGCAAGATCAGGACTCGTGGTTCAAATTACAGGCAAGTGCTCCTCTGCAGACTGTCAGTCTGTGGAGCTCAATTAATATTTCATCAGATGTATTGCTGGTGGAGGAGGGTCCTGTGAATTATTAATGACATTTCAATTACAATATTCCTTTAATTCTTTTAGTGGGGGACATCAAAGGAAAAATTTTACGAGACAATGGAGCTGTAGGGCAGGAAAAATTAAACATGTAACACTTTTAATGAATTCCAGGCATTGATGCTTCATTTTGCAGATGAGCCGCACTAGATATTTTGGGTCAATACAGTGTCTAAGGTTAGCTTCCACAAATGGATTGTTTACAAACTCAATTACATTAATATCAATAGTTTACACAATATGGAATTTTAAATTAGATGTAATACCTTTAGTTCCATTTATTAAATTTTACATTAAAATATTTGTTCTGGCAAGCCACCAGGTGAATGCTTTACAGGAAGTAGCAAGCTGATTTGCAATGAAAATTAGAGTTTCTGATCGGCAGGGAATTATCCATGCCAAAAAAAGAGTAGTAATAGTAAAACCAATAACTTACACTGAGGAATTTCCATCTGCTTTTTTGTTGTTGTTGTTGCTTTTCAAAACTATGTTAGAGTGACTGACCTTTATTACAAGACCTTTTATGGTTTATTGTTACTGAACAATGCTTTAAAATTCCTTCTTCATAGGTGAAATTACCAGAAAAGATACTTCTTAGTGTTCTTGGATTTAAAATGCACGTGTGAATAATACTTGATTTTTCTAGTTCTGTTGGCCTGTTTACCTGATGTAAATTACTACATGCAATTAAGCGAATACCATAATACTATACTAAACAAAAATAATTAACTTTATATAGAGGCATATTTAAATTATGTTCAGCATGTACATGAATTGTAAAATAATGCTTTAAAGAGAAAATATTACTGTCTTTTCTTCAGTTGCTTCCTACTGTAGCCTTTGTATAGAAAAGCTCCAGGTTGATTTACTTTATTGCTGCCTGATTTAAGGATACTACTGTACAGATTATTTTGTGTAGGTATGTTCCCTGCCTCAGCTGGAGGACCACTGAGTTGATGGAAATCCTTCAGGAACATCTCTTGACATTGTTACATGGTTACAGCCTAAGATACTGCAGTAAAACTACAATAAAACTTTGAAAAGGCCAAAATATAATTGCACACCTAAGTAGCAATGTTCTTTCTGCATGTAAGATAATGTGTTCGGTTTCATTTTGTGGCTGGTGCATGTCACTGAGTCTAGGATAGTAATTCCATGGGAGGAAACAAGGTTTAATTTTTTGGTGAAACTTACTCTGATTTTGCTTGTGTGCTGTAAGACTGAGGGTCTAAACAACTTGATGTTCTCATAGTCAAGTATTTTCCCCATCCGCAGTCTGCACTAGGAAGGCACTAGCACCATCTAACTAGCTTCTATCTGAAAGCCACATAGTCTAGTAAGCAGAAGACCTTCTGGTTAGTCCAGCTGAGAAGCAGGCATTAAGAGTGGACATAGTTGTGTTGTCAGCATGTTTAAATGTCTTCCAGCCTAGCTCGTATGTAATTACCTTGAAGTGTAGGTGGAGCTAGCGTACTACTGTATGAGTCTGGCACTGCGGGCTTTCCCAGCCTCAACTGGCATTCTGTAAAATGGAGATAATACTGTCATTCCTGTGCAGACTTGCAAAGGTTGTTGTATTTGGAGGCACTTGAATATTAACACAAAAAGGTCACTTTTGTTGATATTCAAAATACTCAGCTTTATTTTCTATCAGTGAAATTTTCTGGAAAAAGTGTTCTTTAAAATAAGGGGAGTAGAAATTTCCTTTTGTAAGCCACTTCTGATTCCAGTGCTTTTCTGATTTTGAAGGAGCCTGAAGACTAGCTGAAGCAAGGAACTACTTGTTACATGGAGTATAATGATTACAAAAATTAAAATGTTGTCTCGCTTTTAACAGTTACTGAGCCATACAGCTGCAGAAAGCCAAATGTCATGTGAGGTATCAGTAGAAGTGTTGCAGCTATGGTGGTGTAAGGATATACGGGAAGCAAGATCTATAGAGGGGGAAAGGTCTTTCATTAGACAAGCTGAGATAGTTGGAATAAGTGAATAAGCTCTCAGACCAGTGGTCCCTTCACAAGAAAAAAAAAAAGCAGCAGCAAACTTCAAGTAACCCATTTCTAGCCTGTATCTAGGTTGAAATCTGTTGTTGAAACATGTTGAAGAGCTTGGGGGTCCACAAGTTTGCTTCTTTCCAAATACATTTTTTTTTTTAACAAAGATGTTACCTTTCACTACAGACTTTCCTTCATTTATTTGAGAGATCAGATCAGAAATGCTGCCACAAAGTTTATACACTGATTATTTACTCATTTGTGCACTTCAAGATACTGAGATATAATCATACACATTAAACATTAAGGCTCAATCTCTGCTATGAGAGGCAGAGAGATTAATTTCCATGGCGCTTACATAAATAAAAATCCATTGCCCCAGAAAATTTGTATTGCTCTTGCTGCCCTGTCCTTTTATTTTCACTAGGATTTAGTTGTCATTTCAGTGTCATTTTGAAGGCATGATTTGCCAGTGCTTGGCAGTAGAGTTGGTTATAATGCAACATGTTTTCCTGTGCTGATTTTCTGAGTACTTAAAAGATTATAAATATAGTATAACTACAGCTTCCTTTTTCTTGGTAGTAAGTTGCAGGAATAGATCTTATTTGCAATTCCAATCACATGCAATTAAATAAGAACTAATAAAGGATACTTGCTGTGAATTTGGGTTTTATAAACCAGAAGCAACAGAAGGAGAAAGAGATTTGGATATATTGATCGTATATGATATTGACCATAAGCTATTAGTACAATGCAACTGTGAAAAAGGGACAGAATACATTATGACAATATATTTGGGGTAGGAACAGGGCAATATTAGTATTTTGGTGCAAGGCACCAGTAAGACTTTGGTTTGGAATGTTATTAGTGTCACCTTTGTTCAAGGAAAACAAATATAAATTGGATGGGCAGCAGAGCAAATCTGTTGCAGTGATCAGGAGAATGAAGGATGCCTCCTAAGTGTAGCAAGCAGGAGTAAGTGCTTTGTTTAGTTTTGTGAAACAGCACAGACTGGAAGAAGTTAGATGACTCTTTTATATAAATAAAAGCTCTCAAGAGAAGAATAAAATGTTGGCTGGTGGAAAGTGGTTAGAGCCAGATTAGACAGAAGAGGTTTCACACAACCGAGTGAAAGGGGAGTAGATTTTCTGAAAATTGATCAAAGGAAGTGTGAACTCTTTGTGTAAGCTGAGGTAGGGGGGGCGGGGGGAATGGATAAACCCAGCATGTGAGCTTGTTTGATACAGACCGGGGGAATAAATAGAGGTAACTTGTTACTGCCCATGAAGAATGAGAAACTAACCTGTTCTGGGAAAGTTGGCTTTAGATATTTTTAAGAGCAGTGGCAGTGGTTATTTGGATTTGTAGCATAGTTTTAAGCTATTTTTTGCATCTCCAACTTCTAACTTCCCCTTGGATTGCTGGGATTTTTTTAATTAGTCTATGTAAGGTTGTTATATAGAATTTTTTCATAATGAAAGAGATCAGTAACATCCACGTTATTCTGCATATGTATAAGCTTTTAATAAAGAGTATTATTTCTTAATGTCAGCAGTTTCTGAAGGCATTAACAGGTTTTTTTTAAAGCAGGGTATTGCTGGTGTCTGGGAAATCCTTATTTATTGCTGTATGCGTATGATGTTGAATGTATACTGTGATCTTTTCAATTGTGTATTTATTACCACTTGAATAGTACATAGTCATCCAGACACAGATCACTGTGGTAACTGTAGCTATTGCCTTTGTTTGCAAAGTCATTTTATTCTGTTTTTTAAAGAGCAAATATATTTGAAAAATAACTACTAGTAACCACTACTTAGTGTATTTCCTGTATGATTGTTGGTATCTGTTTGTGATGGTAGTGTTTCTTGTTTGGCTGTTGTGCAAGAGATTTTTCTCTTCTTAACCTTATGAGTAGCTCTGAACTTAATACAGAAAGACTTTGTTTCAAATGTCCTCAGTAATTCTCAGAAACAATCATATGATTATGAATAAGAAACTTATGAGACAGTTTAAGCCCAGCTCAGACCTCAACCTCCATGGATGATACATTCTGCTGCTTTGGAGTCCTTGTCTTATCCGATAATTGTACAGTATATTACCAACATGAAGCAGAACACCTGTGTGTAAGTCCATTTGTGAGACTCTAGCTACACATTCTTTTTAATAGAAGTAATAAAATAGTTGTTTGTTAATGATTTCTTTTCTCTTATAGAAACAGCAGTCACCCAAACCTGATTTGTATTACCACAGAAGGAAGTTCCCTTATGCCTTATTGTTTGGAGCTTTTCTATTTCTGTGTTTATCTTGATAGATGCATCCATTAACTGTTCAGTGGATGGGTTCTTACAGCAGTACACCTTTCATCTTCCTTTAAAAAGCAGACTTCCAGAAAAACAATGCCAATTAATTTCCATAGCACTCATATTCCACTTGAACTATGAAGTGTATCATTTTAATATGTGTGTATTTTAATGAGCCACTTAATATGGAGTATTTATTTCATGTTAAATATTTGGTTTTTTCTTGAATACTTTATTTTAGGTACCATGGATTGGGTCCAACAGTGATTGTTTGTCCAGCTACTGTGATGCATCAGTGGGTAAAAGAATTCCACACTTGGTGGCCGCCATTTAGAGTTGCCATTCTCCATGAAACTGGTTCTTATACCAACAAAAAGGTAATGGTTGACATCCATTTTGTAATTCCAGAAGCTTTTCTTTTTTTCTTTTGTGCTAGCCAAAAAAAAACCCAAAAATCCCCTGTTCCTGAATGTTTCTGTGCAGGCTTGTGCTTTTTCTCTGATTGTTTTAAAAGAACAAAAAGTTCACTGTCTTGTATAGATTTGTTAGGAAACTAGACAAAAAGGGGATGACACGGAGTACATTTATATTATGATACAGACTAGTGTTGCCTGAACAAAACTTAGTAACAGGTTCCTTGCTTGAGCTTTGCTTGTAGTGTAGTCCATGCTAGAAGTTCATGACTAGACTGCTTGTACACCAGATATATGCTTCCAGTACTGGTGAATTCTTTCTTCACACTTATGTGCATCAGTATGTCATTGATCTAATATTTAATACATCTTGCTTGCACAGGCAATTTCTCTTCAGTTGGTCAGTATGTCAATTGATATCACCTAGTCTCATTTTCTTTAATGACAGTGTTACTTTGTTGGTTTTCTTTTTTTCAAGCACTTCCTTTTCTGTCTTTTCATTTTCTTGGCCAGTCTCTTAATATGTGTGTTCTTACTCCATTTCTTAAGTTGACAAGCCTGACTTGTCTGAAGTTTCAATCCTTGGTACCTTGCGGGAACAAAACAAGGAAAACTTAGTTTTTTCTTTTCCCTTGGCCTCATATTTCAGATGCTTAAATGGATTTTCAGGATTCGGCCAAGCATTTTTAAATTTCTCTTTAAATATTTATTGAATTTCTTGTAATAACATTAAAATGATATGGTGCTTAATTGCACTTGATTAAACGTATTCTGAGGTAATTGATGCAGTTACAGGACATGGCAAAAAAAGAATAGCATGCTCTAATGTGCTAATAGCTTCCTGTTGTTCAATTAACTTGGTGTGTTTTCAAGCCCTAAAAGTCTGTTGACCTCAATAACATGCTCACATGTCTTCCTAAATTAAATTGTGTGTGCTTATTTTGGGGTATTTGTTAATTAATGCACTTGACAGACTGGCTCAAATTTTTCCATCTGCAGGAATAGTCAGATTTTCAGGACTTCACCTTCCTGTTGTCCTCCCACAAATGCCTGCTCAACAACTTAAAGAATTTGGATACCATGTGATCACTTTAGATAGGTTCAGTTCTCTATTCTGCTTTAATGCCTCATCTTCTGAGAGCTGCAACAGTATGCTTTAAACAAGTGTCACTGCTGATATGGTCTTTACCTTCTGCACATTTTTTTTTTCCTAGATGCCTCTTAATCAGAGACGAGCAAGCTCATGACTAAACTAAAGTTAAAAAAAAAAAAAAAAACCCACAAAAAAACCCCAACAAAACTTTCACATTCTAATTGTCCTTATACCTGCAAAAAAAGTTTACTACTAATTTATTGGCATAAATAACACTTGTGCACTGAAAATATATCACATAAAATACAGGCCAGGTGATTTTCTCCTGCCTAGAATTTGTTTTCAATATATGTTCTTGCTATGAGTACATTAGTGCTGATCTGATCTTGTGACAATTCCATCTTCTGATAACCTATGGCATTACAGGAGACTGCTTTTGCACATGTTAACCTTAATAATACTCATTCAGGGACCATTCTGCCCTTATGCTCTGGCACAAGGCATAAACTTAAATAAGAAAATTGTGGTTAGACTGCGTAAGAACATATGTTTGTTCCTTGATTGAGATTAATTTTACATGGCCAAAAGCCAAGTCTCTGGGCACCTGTGGTCTCAATGTTGCACAGACCTGTTTGGAATTAAACTGACAATTCCAGGATTCACCTGTTGTTCTGTTAGTGTATCATGGTTTATCAGGAAGTAAATGAGAAGAGTTTTGTGCTGGACAGCTAACTTGCCAGGAGACAGGATTGGGGAACTAAATGTTGTTACCTGCTTTGGAGTGAGAAAGGTCACTTCAGCCTCTGGGTGTGCTGGTTTCAGCTGGGATAGAGTTAACTGTCTTCCTAGTAGCTGGTACAGTGCTATGTTTTGAGTTCAGTATGTGAAGAATGTTGATAACACTGATGTTTTCAGTTGTTGCTAAGTAATGTTTATACTAAAGTCAAGGATTTTTCAGCTTCTCATGCCCAGCCAGCAAGAAAGCTGGAGGGGCACAAGAAGTTGGCACAGGACACAGCCAGGGCACCTGACCCAAACTGGCCAACGGTGTATTCCATACCATGGGACATCCCATTTCGTATAGGAACTGGGGAGTGTGGGGGGGAATCGCCTCTGGGGGACTGGATGGGTGTCAGTCAGTGGGTGGTGAGCAATTGCCCTGCGCATCTTTATTATTACTGTTGCTATTTTATTAGTGTTATCATTATCATTATTAGTTTCTTCTTTTCTGTTCTATTAAACCGTTCTTATCTCAACCCACAAGTTTTACTTCTTTTCCCGATTTTCTCCCCCATCCCACTGGTGATGTGGTGAGTGAGTGAGTGAGCAGCTGCGTGGTGCTTAGTTGCTGGCTGCGGTTAAACCACGACACTGGGCTAACAGAGGTTAGAATGGGCTGGGCTGGTGGAAGAACATAATTGTCCCTGAAATTAACTGGACATCAGACAGTGAAGATCTTAATGGATTTTGAGGAATGCATTATCCCACAGTAGTTGGCCAGCAGGTTGTTCTTGGTAAAACACAGTATTGCAGCTTGCTCTATACAGGCCTGTGAAAGAGGGACAAAGGATTTCTGAGGAAAGATTAATCTTAAAACTGATGAAGGAGAATTTTGGAGGAAAAGAGTTAAGCAATGACAGGTGTCCCATAAGGCAAGATGGTATTTCATAGCAGAAAGAGACAACAGCTGAAGTTTCATTTGATAAAACTTAAGTTGCTCTTTTAGGTAAGATGGATCTATGTAATTATTGCCATAACGTTGTCAGGAATCCTGAAATATTAGCAAATACTAAATCTTTCAGCACTGGTGAAATTATTTGCTTTTATGAATAGGTATTTTCTGTTGCACCTTCTAAGGTACCCAAGCATCAGATCCTGTGTCCCAGTTCTTTAGACTTGCCCACAGAACTATTTGCTTGACAGTGAGGGGTGGGGAAGACATCTGTTCCAATTCTTTTATCATAAATTGATACTAGGCAATACCTTGCACATAGTTTCGGTTAGTGACACTTCTTTAGTATTACAAAAGGACTTCTGAGCGCTGTGGTAAATAAAAGGCTCACCAATCATTACCTTGGCATATCCTCTCTTCCCAGTCCATTTCGGTTTTCTTTGCCAGCAACTTTAGGGTTTTCCACAATAATATTATGAAATAACAGCTGGAATTGTGAGCACCAGATTGGCTGCAAATCTGGTCAGCCTGTTTCGGATGAGTCATTGAGACATCCTGCTTAGATATCTTTGCTGCTATAGTATTTGTGTAGGGTTTTTTTACCATGTGAAGCTTCAAAAGAGAGACTACTTCATTCCTTTGCTAAAATAACAATGGTAGACAATTTTGGCAGTAAGGGGGAGAAATGAAAATTTCCAGTTTCACCCCTTGAGATATGAATAACAATTTAAAGGCCTTCAGCTATCCACAAGGGAAAGCAGAGTGGTATTTTAGATGATGGAAGGAAGACACAATAGCAAGTTGGATAGGTTTCCAAGAATTTAGAGCTAGTTTAAGGCATTTGGGTGAAATGTAAAACTTTCTTTTTTATTATTAATTGTGCTCACAGAAGATCATGTGGTTCTTCTATGATGATAAATATGCTTAAGTTGGAAGCAGTAGGAAGAACCAGATTTAAGTAGTAGTCTTCCCTGTGAAGTCAGCTTTCAGTTTGAATAGGGCACAGCATTTGTGGCTAAATATGTCCAGTGGTGCTGTCTTATGCTATTAACCTCCTACTATGGTTTATACTCAATTCTGATGTAGCTTAAAGTGACTTGTAAATATCAAGTGCTCTGAGACTTATAAGGATGAGAGAAAATAAAGAAGTAAATCTAATGTAGTGTATCATAAACACCATTTTATTTGTAGTATAGAACAGAAGATAAGGGGAAGAAAGCTCTGTAAGTATAGGGGGAAAAAAAGCCTTTTGTACAAAGAGCTTGTCCCATTGTTTCAAAACTTCTCATGGCACATGAGCACTTGTATATCACGGAATGTAAGAGGCAATGTGAACTTTGGTTATCTTGGTTTAGCATATCGTATATGGAAGGAGGCTGTATTTTTTAAGATCAAGGCTGAACTTTCAATTTCTTGATCTTTAGAACAAGTATCACTGAGTTTAACCATTCTTTCTGGTAATCACATACCATTTGTAAAGCCGTAACTTTACATTCCCTTATTCCAGTCATATGCTGGACACACAGTGCAGTCCTCGAAGGTAATTGTCAGTTCATGATGCTTGCACCTGTAGAATCATCTATTTGAAGATGACTTTGCACTCTGGAGAATTTAGACGTTCTGCCCTCACACTACAGTAGAATACGCAATCTACATGTAAAGAAAATAAGCTGCAGAGGTTACAGTTACTGGCATGACTGCATAGGGAACCTCTATTTTAGCCAAAGGCTCTATTTCTGAGTTAAGGACCAAACTCAGATAAACTCAGTATCATGCCACAAGAAGTAGCATTCTTGTTAAATATGTAGTAAGTGCTTTAGCTCTTTTTATTGCAACTTTTACATTATTAAACATTGTAATGTGTTCTTTTGAAGCCTCTTCATGGTGCCATTTAGATTGTTTTGTTGGGGGCAGGGAAATAATAAAGAGGTTTTACAGGTTGAATTTATGGATCTCTGGGCTTAATGGTTGGTTATAAGATAGTGATAAGCCTGCTGAAGAATGCCTTTTTGATTCACAAGTGATGTATGGTTGAGTAAGTGACTAGATACTATCTCTAAGTTCACACTTGCCTTAAAGGTATCTGAATGCTTAGAGAATTTTGTAGTTATCACTCATCTAGTTCTTTAAGTTCAGTCTTAACATACACATTTCTGTTTAAGAAAATTACCATTTTTAATACTTAATATTATAGAAGAGTTCAGGTCTTACTCTTAAATATTTTTTAAAACACTACTTTGTGCTAAAAAAGATAAATCTTATTTCTGTAAGCATCAGTCAAAAAATTTGTCCTGTTTTTGTAGCTTCAGAAACAAACTTGTAGCTACAGTGAGGTACCAACAGGAAAAAAACACTTGCTTAGAGGTGTGTCCTTAGAATAAATCATAAACATTTTAGCCTTAAGAAATGGTGCTTCCCAAAAATCTTCCAGTCTTCGTACATTGCATGTGTCCCTGTGAAGACAATGCAATGCAATCAACTTACCACCCTAAGTTAGGAGAAAATACTGTCTTTGAATTGTAAAACCCTGAAATACTGTGCTGAACAGAACTACAAGATCAGAATTACTCGATCTACTCACATGTTCCTCTATTCATTAGTGTCATTTAAAGGCCAGAGTTCAGAACAAAGCTGGGTAACTGCTGTGTAATCTTTTGGCATTGGTAGGATTTGTCTCTCTTAAGCTGTTGGGGGGGGGGGGGGTTTTGGGGGGGGTTTTTTTGGTTTTTTTTGTTTAAAAGCACAAGCCCGAAA